GCCTCGGCCCGCCTCTGGCCCCGCCCCTGCCCGCTCGCCTGCCGTTCCAGGCTCCGCCCCCACCTCGGGACCCACCCCCATTCCCTGACCTTGCTTCTCTGCCGCCTGACTCAGGTGTTTGCTCCGCCAACTCGTGACGCCAGTCTGGCGGCTGACCCCACCTCTAGGCAGCCGTGTAGGCTAACATTTGCTGTTGACCTGAGTCAATCATGTCAACTCCACCTCCTGACCCAGAAATTTAGAAGTAGTTTGAGCTTTGGAACTGGCATATGCTCCCCTCCCTTCTTTTGTTGGTTTGGACACCTCCAGCTTTTTCTATCTGCAAATCTATCCCTGTTCCTTACCTTCCAATGCTCTAGGGTATGGCTGAACCACACAGCCTGCTTGTCACGCCACAATAGGAGATCTTGCTGAGCCTGAGGAAAGGAAGGAACACTCCCAAATACTGAGATTTGGAGCAATTCCGTGGCGCCATCAATCTGGGTTCCTTTTGCCAAGAACCAGGCCCTCCTTGGGGCTTCTGTCACCTACAGGACAGCTCCGCTCATTTCTTCTTTGATGGCTGGGCCTGCTTTGAGTGCCCTTACCATGGAGGCCCCCAAGGTCTTGCTGTGTGTTAAAGCCGTGGAGATGCACTCATCTGGCGGGTAGACTAACTGCTCTCTAAAATTCTTGAGGCCACGCTTATCGACAGCTCAACTGAAATAACATTTAAAGAGGATTTCTTGAAAAAACATCCACTTCTTCCGTGTCTCCAAATCACTGATACTCTAAGGGGAATGAGAGTATGACTTACCAGATTGAGATGAGAAGGCATGCCTGATTTGCATAACTATATTTCATTTAATAATATACTTTAATATTTGGAAAATGTGTTATTTTTAATATCAACCCCTAGAAATGATGGAACGATAAGATGCATCTTTAAAATGTTGAGAAAGACTAGATCTAAACACTACAATTTATCTTTGGGTTAAGTCAGATCATTAGAAAGGCAAACACCACACTGAACTCTTCAACACCCCGCAAGAACATCCCTCAAGATCTGCAATTACTAACATAGGCGTTGGGGTTTATGCCATCAGCTAAACTGAGGGATGATTCGAGAAATGGCTCCCCACAGTTTATCTATGAAAACTGAAGAAGATGCTACATGCTCAACAGTCTCCATGTGAAGAACTGGGAAAGGAACAGCTCTCAATTCCCAATACCTGAAAGACCTATCTATGCTTTTCCAAATTGTTAGGTTATCTTGTGATTCCCTGAACACTTGAGGTGATCATGTTTTATCTTTTCTTTGGCAGCTCTTAAGTACTAAGTCAACTTTTCCTTCCTCTTCTGCAAAGGTTACTGGGTGCTTACTGTATAGGAATAGTTCCCAGCTTCATCTAATTTTTCTTTTTGTTATTTTGTCTTTGTCCCAAATTTCCAAATTTCCTAGGTTGTTATCATGACATATTAATTTTATCAGCTGCGTCGAAGTGTTATATAGAAAAAGGTTAATATTAAATATATACGTGTGTATTCCTAGAAGTCTGACCTCTGAGGCTCTGAAGGCTGCTTAAAACTGAGGTTAAGGATAAAAGGGCAGATCAAGGTGAGCAGTGGTTCACAAATTTTAGCATGCACCAGAATATCCTGAGGGGCTTAATAAAACACAAAATTGCTGGGTGCCACCCCCAAAGTCTCTGATTCAGCAGGCCAGGAAAGGTACCCCAACATTTGCATTTCTAATAAGTTCCCAGGGGAATGATACCCCAGGGACCACACTTTGGAAACCACTGCACTAAAGTACCTCCTCAACGATCTATGCTGCAATCATCCTAATCAGATAGGAGATGACCATCTCCCAGGAACCCTTGAAGGACTGATGAGAGACAAAGATTTAAGTATCACAGACTACCCTGTGGACAAATATCACAACTGTGGTAACCTTCAACACAGGCTAAGCAGACGAGATAACAGCTGAGAAGTTCAGGGCACGGCCCCAACCCCATGAGCTGAGGGAGTAGAACAGAAGATGAAGAGTTAGAGGCAGATGGTATAAAATTCTGTGGTGGGAATGTCTGTAGTTTGATAAACCCTCCTTGTGTTTCTCTGGATGGGCCCAGTGGTATCAGAGCAAAGATATAAGTAGTCAGATGATCTTTCAAGATCCAGAATGTCTAAGAGATGAGGCTTCTGATTTATAGATGTCTGTATGGAGATGAATCTAGAGAAGAGTTAGCAAGCATGTTTACAAATTTTTACTATACATTTTTTGGTTAGGTAAAAAAAAAAGTGTCTACAGTATAAACATAATGGACAAAATGAGAAAAAGACTTGTCTCACAATTCTCATATATGTTTAATACAATCACAAAAGCATTTCAGCATATTTTTCTAACTTTATAGACACCCTTAACATGTTTTATTAGTTTGGAGTTAACATTCCTGGAACTTTTTGTATATGTCTGAAAGTGTGTACATATTATTTATTTATTTTTTACTTAAATAATACAAATTTATAATATTTAAAAAGATGCTCAACATTAGTAGTCATGAGGGAAATGAAAATCAAAAGCATAGTAAGATATCACTTCACACCTGTAAGAATTGCTCTTATCTAAAAGAGAAGAGATAACAAGTGCTGGCAAGGATGTAGGGTAAAGAGAACCCTTGTGTACTCTTGGTAGAAATATAAATTGGTGCAGCTACTATGGAAAACACTATGGAGTTTTCACAAAAAAAATTAAAAATAGAATTACTATATTATCTGGGAATCCCGTATCTGGTTATACGTACAAAGGAAATGAAATGCTTGAAAAGAAATCTGCACTCTAATGTTACTGGTATTATTGATAATAGCCAAGACATGGAAACAACTTAAGTATCTATTGATGGATGAATGGATAAGGAAGATGAGGTACATACACACAATGGAATATTATTCAGCCATTAAAAAAAAGGAAATTCTGCCATTTGTGATGACATGGATGGACCGCAAGGACATTATGCTAAGTGAAATAAGTCAGACAGAGAAAGACAAATACTGTATGTCTCACTTATATGTGTGGAATCTAAAAACAGTCAAATTTATAAAAACAGAGTGGAATGGTGGTTGCTAGCGAGTGGAGGAAATGGGGAAATGTTGATCGAAGGGTACAAACTTTCAGTTTATAAGATGAATAATTTCCGGAGACTTAATATACAGCATGATGACTATGGTTAACAGTACTGTTATTATGTACTTGAAAGTCACTATGAGATTAGAGCTTTAATAACAACATACAAAATGGTAATTATGTGAAGCGAAACAAAACAACAACAAAATGGTAATTATGCGAAGCGAAAGATGTGTTAACTAACCTTAATAATTATAGTAGTCATTTTGCAATGTATAAGTGTATCAAATCATCACATTGTTTACCTTAAACAATGTTATGTTTCAAAATTATATCTTAAAAAATCTTGGGGGGAATAATAAATTTATTATTTAAAAATTCTAGTATAAAAAAATAAACTGGCATTTAGAAGTGAAAAAAAAAATTCTGGAGGTCAAAAGTCTTAAATGGGTCTCACGAGACTAAATCTTCTGTTGTTCAGTTTCAAAAAATGGACACAAGTTTCTTTCTTTTCATACAGCTATCCAGTTATCTCAACATCATTTATTTAGAAACTACATCTTTTTGAACAAATGTTGCTGGAACAACTGAAAATCTACATGGAATAAAAAATCAAACTTGATATCTACTTAAAACTTAAACAAGAAAGTTAACATAACAAAACTTATTGTAAAAGAAAACATAGGAGATGATGGTCACAATTTAGGATAGGCAATTTTTTTAAATTTTTTTTTGGCAGAACACAGAAAATAATAATTACAAAAGAATAAATTGGTAAATTGGACTTCCGCAAAATTAAAAATATCTATTCATCAAGGCTTAGTTGAGAAATTGAATAGGCAAGCCATAGAGTGAGAAACAATATTCACAAGGTAATTGTGAACCTGAAAAAAATCTGTGAATTTGAACAAATAACTCGTTTTAAGAATATTAAAGAACTCACTCAAGTCAATAATAAAAAAATAAGATACTCAAAATTTTAAATAAACAACAGCCTTGAATAGATTCCATAAAAGAGGGTTTGTGATTGAGCATATAAAAAGATGCTTAACATCATTAGTCACCAGGGAAATGCAAAATTAAAATGAGATACATTTAAAATTTTTTAAAGATTGATAACACCAAGTTTTGGGAAAGAATGTAGAGCAACAGGAACTCTCATACACTGCTGGTGAGAATTTAAAATGGTAGAACCATTGTGAAGCCCATTCAGGCAATTTCTCATAAGTTAAGCATACCCCTGCTCTATGACCCAGCAACTTCCCTTTTAGGTATTTATTCCAGAGGAATAAAAACATGTCCACAAAATGACAACCAAGAATACTCACAAAGACCAAAAACTAGAAATAACCGCATATTTATGAACAGGTGAATGGATGAACAAATTGTTATATATTCATAAATGGAATACTAGGTCCATTTTTAAAAATGTTTTAATAGCAGCATTAAAAAGAAATGAACTACTGATACATACAGAAGAAGCCAGGCTCAAAAGAATACTAATGTATGATTTCATTTTTATGAAATTTTAGAACAGGAAAAATTCACCTATGATGCT